GCTGACCCAGATTAGCAGGCTGTGTTGTTTCAGCCTCTGCAGGACAAAGCAGCAGACTATGGCAGACAGCTACCTCAGATCACACCACATGTATCTACCTCCTCTCACACCTACTCTCATCTCTTGTCGTCTCTTTCCCACTTTCTCCTCTTCTGTGAAGGGTAGGGAGGGAAGACAGATAAGGCTGCCTCAGAAATTACCTATCAGAGCTTGGCAATGTGTCCAGTGAGGCTGTCTGAGAAATGCTGAATCTGTCAATCCGGTGCACAAGAAAGTATTTTGCAAGCTTAGTTTTTAGCTGTCAATTAAAATGAGTCCAGTTCTGCAGGTGTATGAATACCATATTGCGGGCTCGGTAGATAAAACGGGTAACAAATCATGCTCTGCAGCTTTTCTTCATATTTCCTTTACACCGAGATTAACCACAAAGTGGAGACTTTCAGAATCCATGATCAGAGGACATTCATCACCAGCAGCAAAAAAAAGCATGCCAGATTTATATTAAGTTAAGATTGCTCTCTGGGGATACATTGCAGCTACATACCACAGCGATGTATAACTGTTTTCTGCAGATGTGTTAAAAGAACCCATCATAAATTATAATAAAACAGCATGCCAAGACCCAGTGCACCGTTATTACTAAATCTGCAGTTCTAAAGCAGAGAAGTAATTCTGGATAATGAGTATGTATTACTTACTGACTGCTGGGTGTATGTTTATTTATTACCTCCTTGTACTGTATATTTCTTTCGGAGCTGCAGAAGATGTTTCCCACTTAAATGCAGAGAAGGCACTTCAATCATAGATAGCTACCAGCTTGTTTTATATCTTGAACCCTTTAAAACAGGGTGATGAAAAGGTCTGTCTCAGTATCCACTCAACATTTTTTAAGAAATCTAGGACTTTTCAGAGGATTCTTCTTCACACTGGCAATTTCCAAGATGCTCAGTGGCTGCAGTCACACATAAAGGACGGGCTTTACTTCGGTTGGCTGAGTGTTTATTAAAAAAAAAGCATGTCTGCTCAACTTTTTCTAGTGTGTGCCTAGAAAAGATCTTGCACTGCAATGATGCTTTATTATTTGTCTGAGACGCATCTCTTAATAACATAGTATAACAGAATAACAGAAGAAATTATATGATTGGAACAGATGGTTTAACGTTCACTCCTTTCCACTCAGGTTTCTTCTAAACACCAAGAACAGACTTGTTAGGAAGAAACCGCAGGTTTACACAAAGCGAAATACTTTGCTGAAAATATCCATGGGAGTAGTCGAAAATCGCGTATAATCAAAGTGGAACACATGAAGCAGCCTGTGCTATCTGAAGTCGTTTGAAGTATGTTTGAAGCATTAGTTTCAATTTTGAAAAGGGCTTTTTTTTTTTTACTTATTCACAGCCAAGAAGGGCATTTCCAATAATGAAGATTGGTTAATGGGAATATCAATATACTTTTTACATTTTTATTTAGACTTTATGCTCTCGTGCCAGTGGTTAATTTTCAGAACACACTTTACTAGCCTCTGCGATGGACTGGCAGCCTGTCCAGGTTGTACCCTCCCTCCCAACTGCTGGAGATAGGCACCAGCTTCCCACATGACCCACGGTGGAAATAATAATCTAATAACAATCCGATAATCTGTGTGAAAAAACAAGCTCTTCTGGCTCCTCTCAGTGGTCCTACTGCCATTTGCAGAAATACACCACACCCGGTCAGAAACAACCAATCAGAGACAGGAGAAATGTTTTAGCGGTCTCAGTCACGTTCGTGTACACTCTGCTCACACCCTCCCCAGCACAGCGCATACTGCTGTTCAAGTTCTGTTGTGCTGCGTCTGTGCTAATGGTACTGTGCTAAGGATTTGAGGACCAAGTTTGTACTCAAAGTATTGGCAAAAAAGGAGTATGGAAATTGGCCACAATATTTTGATCTGTTTAGTGCATCAAGTCTGTTTTCATCACACTGATAAAAAAATACATCTCTCTGTTTAACAAATCCACTTTGGTAAACCTGTACAGTCCATGACAACTTATATGGACTCGCTAGGTGAACAGAGAGGGCCGAATGACTAATGTATTATCTGGTACTACATGACTGAATATGACACCTGGGAGGAAGGGCTTCACCATACAGTACATCTTGCGTCTCTCCAGTCAGGGAGACATTTCTCTTATCACAAAAGTGAAATACAATTCTCTATTATGACTTGCTGCATCCTAAATGTCATGGCTGATTTGTAAATGATATGCTGCCCTTAATTGTACTGATATTTCCTGAAGCAAAAAACAAGCTTCTGTTCTCTCTTGTGTCTCTTCCCTTCAACTGCTCAGTGAAAAAGGTCTGATTTTCTTGAATCTTTTTTATATTTCCATCCTTATTGCCTTTTTAGGAGGAGAGCAGTTTCATTAGCGCAGCAAAAAGCTAAGATCAAGCATTTAAGAAAAGTGTGTTTAACAACCACCTCTTAACATTCTAGGGTATTAACGTCCTGATGGTAGGAGTAAGTGTCTAAATGATTCTGAGAATCCACAGCTCAAACTGAAATAAGAGATTCTTCAAAAGGAAAGTTGGCAAATGCCACCTGTATTGCGTCCAAAACTCTCAAGTGCTTCCAGTGTAATGAGTTAAAACTTTCAATCCATTACCCTACAGTGTCAATGTATGTTGGAGAGAAATAGTTAAGCACTGTGTGATAATCCGACACTTTGAGGATATGCAGTTGTGATATATGGGTTAACCACGGGGGTTAAGACAGCCTTTGAGCTATGTCAAATGAGTCTTCTAGCTCCACTAGGCAGCACAGCCCCTTAGGGTCAGAGAGTAGGTCAAGCTAAGACATCTCACAGGACATGAAGGATCATTCCAACATCTTAACCCACTGGGTATCCCCATCATTAGAGATGTTTTCACAACATAGCCTTGGGATAGAATAAATGAGCCTTTAGACGGAATAAATGACTGGCTTCAAGAATGCTTGCTTTACCACTATAAGGGCCGAACTCCATGAGTCCCCGGCCTCCATTAGAGGAGACAATGTGATTCTCTTTCTTGGCCTCCCCATGGCCCTCTCAGTGTGAGATGAGTTGGCTCTTTAGCTGCAGCCACTAGTGAGGCTATTCAGGGATCAAGACTGAATAAAATAAAGTTGGAACATTTCAAAGACGCTGTGTCAGGAAGGGATTGCATATTAGGGCCTCCAGACAGTCTGGAAAAGGCCTTGGCGCAAGTGAGTCCAGATCTGAGGACCCGATAAAGAGTCACATAGCCCAAGGCAGGAGCAGGAATCCCAGTAGCCTTTAAGTTTAAATGTCACACTCTCCACTGGCCTAGTTCAGGAGGCTGTCCCTCCCTCCCTCTTGACAACCATGGTGCAAAGCCAAAATCACAAGCGCAAAACATAAGCGAAATGTCATGTGAGACAATTTCAGAAGCATGGAATCTTTGTTTCAAACAGATCTTGTACTGTTTATGATGTTTTGACAATCAAAGTCCATTCTATCAATAAAAGGTGAAACTAAGTAAGATGTAATTTCATAGGGAATTGAATTAAGCATATATAGTAATTAAAGGTGGGGAGATACGAATAAATTTCCCTGAACTCTTTACTCCTAAGCCAGAATTCTGTGTTTAGCAACAATGCAGATGGGCTACGGCTATACTCCGATTTCCCTCTGAATGACAGAGTCCCTTTTTGTCTTTCAAGGGTCTTTTTATTAAAGAACTGGACCTTACTGTATATGAAAAATGTTAAAAAGAGACATAATTTTACCCTAAACAAACATACCCACCAACAAAGCAAGAGAGAAACAAAAGCCAGGAATAAAAACATAAATTAAATAAATTAAACAAAAGCACCTAGATAAAAAAACAAAAAGCTATGAAACATAATCAGAATATGAAAGGCACCTTAAAGAAGAAAACTAAATATAAGTCAAGATACCGATGTTCCAAACTACAGAGAAAAAAAAAGAGTAAAGGCAAAGGAAGATACTACTCAGAGAAAGTTTTTTGAGTCCTGAAAAAGTGTCATAAAGGTTCACCATAGTTTATGAAACGTACTTTCGGTTGCCTTAATAGTGAAACAAATTTTTTCCAGATGCATACAGTCATAATATGTGTGATCCAGTGGGAATGAGAAGGAGAGGATGCATCTCTTAATTTAATGAAAATCCTGGCTTGACAAGCCAATAAAGAGGTGACAGCTAGCATGTCTAACTTTGATCTGGGCAAGTTTGAGCGTTGTAAATGATCAAAAATACCTGTTAGAGGACTAGGTTTACTTAGACAACTAATAATTTCAGAAACTGTTGGAAAGACTAAAGACCACAACTAGGATAAAGAGACACCGAGCCAATACATATGAAGTAAAGAGCCTGGGCAGTCTTGCATTTCTCACATACCGGGCTTACATTGGGATACATTCAGGTTAGCTTAATTTTAGAAAAGTGTATCTGATGAAACACCTTAAATTATAATAAGGCATATCGAGTGCATACAGAATGAATCCGATTAAGAACCACATCCCAGACATCCTATGTAAATGTGGAATTTAGGTCCTTTTCTCGAGCTAGCCATATAGCTGCTACTAGAGGACAGGGCAATTTGAAGATGAGGCTATAAATAGTGGAGAGTGTACCTTTAAATGTAGGGTTAACAGAAAGAAACTGTTAAAATCCTTCATTTTCCTAATTCCTCATTCCCTTTTTAAGGGAAATGAGGATAGATGGTGTCCACAGTGCAAACATGTAAAACTCTAAAAGAGTGCTTTTTAGTACGTTCAAAATTTTCAACAAGTTTTAAAAGGAAACAAAAGTGTTTTCTTGAAAAAAATCCCCAAAGCATTTTAAATCTTTTTTACACCATACTTAAATTGTACCGTCAACTCCGAAGGGAGCAAATAAGTTATTCAATGTCATTGGACTTTGAATAGAAAATGCCTGCAGGTCACAATGTTTTAGGAATTGAATATAAATTTGAAGTGAATGATTAACAACTGGGGCTGCACGGTGGTGCAGTTGGTAGCACTGTCGCCTGGGAGCCGAACCCAGGACCTTATTGCTGCAAGGTCCTGGGTTCAGCTCCCAGGGGTCTTTCTGCATGGAGTTTGCATGTTCGCCCCGTGCATGCGTGGGTTCTCACTGGGTACTCCGGCTTCCTAGCAGAGTCCACAGACATGCCAGTAAGGTTAATTGGTCTCTCTAAATTGCCGTTTGGTGTGTGAATGAGTGTGTGCATGGTTATTTGTGCGTTGCCCTGCGATGGACTGGCGACCTATCCAGGGTGTAACCTGCCTCCCGCCCATGGACTGCTGGAGATAGGCATCAGCTTCCCCGCGACCCACTATGGAAGAAGCGGTATAGAAAATCACTGACTGATTAATAACTGGGTTTTTAGTTGGAAAGGTGGAATTTAGAGGGAGAGATACACCTAAAGAGTGGCAAGGAGACTGGGCTACTTGTACTAACTTCCATTGTTATATGGACAGGCTGAGCTCAGATGGAAATGCTCCTAACAAAGGCAAATAATATTGCCGGCCATAAGTAAAATTGAAAGTTGAGTGGAGCCAGTACCCTGACCTGTTTGCAGCTTTGAAGGAATGATTTCCTTAGCTGAAGCTGTTTGATGCTACAAATAAAAGAAGTAAGTAAAGAATGAAGAGCCTTAAAAAGTTGCTTGGGTATCCGATTAGGAATGGATTGAAAGAGATAAAGAAATTTTGGTAGCTGAGTCATTTTAACTTAAATAATTCTTCCAGTTAGAGACAAAAACAAGAGGGATCATTTAGAAAATATTAATTTGGCATGATCAAATAACTTAAGGAAGCTGGATTAAATACATTTTGAAAATTCATTGTGACACAAATTCCAAGGTTATTCGAATGGGAACTTTGTATAACTTAAATTAAGGGCTTCTTTGTTATTTGGAAAAAAGAAACGGTCGCTTTTGTTTAAGTTAAGTTTGTATCCTGAAAATTGACTAAAACTATAGAGAATAGAAAGAGCCCCTGATAGGGAAGTTACAGGCTTTGAGACAAATAAAAGTAAATGCAGATATAGAGAAACCTTGTGATCAATCCCCCCCTCCATATCCCGTGTATCTGTTTATTGATGCGTAGAACAATCGCCAGTGGCTTGTTCATGATTGCAAACAGATTTAAACTTAAAGGGCAGTTCTGCCAGGTTCCTCAATTGAGCCTGAAGTAATTGAAATCGTGGTTATTGGTCAGCACAGATGCTGATGGATAGTTTTAAAGCAGTTTAATCCAAGAGGTGAAAGTTGAACCAATACCAAATTTATGAAGAGTCTTAGTTAAACACCTCGACTCCAGTGGCGTCACCTGGCCTGGGCATTCCCGGCTCTAGCCCTGAATGATTCTGATCAAACCCCAGATCTTTTTTTTCACCAGAGAAAGAAGAAATTTCCATTAACTGAGCCACCCTATGATATTAAAGAAGAAGAAAGTTTTGTCATTTCCCGGCTTCGGTGAGTGCAACACAGGTACGACACTATGACCAATCAGAGAGGAGTTGTACGGAACCGGGGACTTGTGTGTTTTATAAGCTGAAAGCTCTGATACTATTTCGAGCAGTCCCAGAAGAAAATGGACATCAGGCGATTTTTTTTGGAAGAAAGAAGAGAGAGAATTCACCAGTCGTGGTGGTTGGCTTTGGGCGGCAAGACTCTGAGCCACCACATGAAACAGGTAAACAAACAAGTGATTTAACTCTTGTATGTCTTCGAAATTATGTGAATATCAGGCAGCTCATTCATGATGACTGCATGATATTAAGCTAGCTATACTGTTACCTAAACTGCGAGTCTTGCCCTTTCCTGTTATACACATTTGTAATAAATCCAGTGGTGTAGTTTATGTGATGAACACAGGTATATGCAGTATACGCTATATACAGCCTTGGGAGGGAGGGGCGGTTCTGGTCCATAGCAGGGGGTTGACGACGATAAGATAACCCATGTATATTATAAAAATATTTCATTATATTGTTTTGCTATATTACTGCAATTATCACGACAACTGATATTATTATGATAATACATTACTAATATATCAGTTTCATACATTTATACTTCCATACAGGCTTAATTACCTGGATGTAATTATCAACAACCTTAAGATCAGTGGGCCTATAGCTGAATTATTTATTCATGAACTCTGGAACATGAATAAAGTGATGAAGCCTGTAAGGAAAGGGGGAAGAGACAGATCAGATGATAGAGAGGTACAGTAAATACTACAGCATTATATGTTTTTCTGGAAATTGCACAAGACTGAAAACAGTTCATCTTTGCCTTTTTTGCAGAAGATGTACAACAGAGAGCAAGTTTTGAAGAGAAACAGCAGCAGTCTGGAAAAGTGAAAAATACAGCACCATAGTGTACGACAGTTGTGTGAAATTGCCTGAGTGAACGAAAGAATGAAAACCTAATTTTTTTTAAATATTTTATTGAATACTTTCTGTTGTCATTAAGAACAAATTGCATTGCTTTTCTGGCAGCAGAAGGTGGAAGGAGTAAACACATGATGGAGACGAAATAGAGCAGCAGACACAGAGATCCGACCAGGTGCAACCTGACACAGAACTAACTTTTGTGCTTGGAATGAAAAGAAAATAGAAAAATGATAACAATTGTTATCTATTAACTAATTTTATCATCTTTAATATTATGCCTTATATTAATACTGATTTTAGAGATCTTGTTTATATTGTCAAGATTAATTAAAAAAAATACATTTTGAAGCATATATTGCAGTATTTGGCTTCAAATAAGGAGTTACAATGCTCAAGAAAGCTTAAATAAAAAACCTTTTTTTCCCGGTTAGGTTCCCCCAGATTCCGCTATGAGGGTGTGGGCTCAGCCCCCAATGTTCCCAGGCCCAGGAAACAACCCTGCTCCACTCAAAAGCTTTTCCCCACTCTATTTCAAAGGATGAGCCCAGCCACCCTGAAAAAAGCTCATTTCAGCCACTTGGATTTCATTCTTTTGGCCATAATTCAAATCATATGACCATAGGTCAGAATATAGACATACTGGTAAACAGATAGCCTATTTATTTGCTTCAGCCCACATATTCACAGACAATGTGAAATCCACCAATCCAGCTCCTTCACTATCCTACCGTGATATGTGGACAAGACACTGAAATACATGAACTCCTCCACTTGAAGCAGAGATTAACCTCCAGCCTGGATAGACTCCTCAGACTTGCAGGAGCTGAATCTCATCCCACCTGCGCCAGTGTATGCTGAAGATCATGGTCTGAAGATACCAACAGTACTACATTAGCCGCAAAAAGCAAAGACGAGATTTAGTTTCCAAACCTGATACCCTCATTTCTAGAACTAAGCCTCAACATAATCAAACATTTCAAACAGGATCAATGTTAATACACAGTTCTGACACTGTAAAAATGTGTGCATATGTATATGAGGTCATGTGCACACATTTGTGACTTTTTGTTTCTGCATTGTGCACCTTGCGGCTACAGTCTGTGGACATTCCCTGAAAGTGGCCCTTAATGCCTGGGTTCGCTGTGTGACATTTCCTGGTAATGGCCATAAACAACAGTACCTCCTTAAGGAGTAACAAGACAAATTTGCTGGCTTTCTTAGTGACATGATGGCATTATCTTGTATTCTTCTTCCTACATGTATTAGTTTTTGCTGTTTTTCTAAAAAAAAAATTTTAGACTTTGTCCAGTTTAATATTAAAGAGTTTAGAAAACCACTATAAAGCTCTGATCTCAGTAAGGGAGAATAACTGCCAATGTATTAAGCACATTAGTGGTTAAATAGACCTCCTAAAGTGGAAAACTCCCTATACACATCTATAAACAAACTTATGAAAGTGCCTCAGTTGGTCTATTAAGGAACTATAATGACAGAAACAAATGGACACAGAGGAGGGCCATTTTTGAGCCAGCACACCGCTGTGGACCAATTTATGCACTCTAAACATGGCAGAGGAAGATTGCGCTAAATGATTTGCAAAGCAAGGGCCTTGCATCCAAATCACTTACTTCTCTGACTTTACGTCTCTGCAATAATAACATATCTTCTGTAAGCAGACATAAGTATATGCAAGATAATTGATTTGACGGTACAACATCTGAATCATAGCCTCTGGTTTAGTCATATGCTGTACAGTGGCTTTGTTCCGTCTTCATGTCACAAATGTAACAAGATGGCGCCGACGATGGCAGCCTCGGAGCTTCGCTCTCTCTTTGTTTTTGTATTTTGTGTGTTTTTATGTTTTTCGAGCCACAGTTCTGTGGTGTCGGGCCACAATCCTGTGGTCTCATTC